GAAGAATATGGGAGATACCATAGACTGCCCAGAGAATAGAAAGAAATCTGGGAATAAGTACAGCCAGAATGAAGATGAAGAGAAGATGGCAAGACTTTGTCTCAGATAAGTGCTTCCGACGTGTTACCAGGAGGGGCCAGATGGTGGAGGACTTTATCATGGTTGATAAAGTCAAGCGATGGTGAAAAAGAGGAAAAAACCCCAGCCACACGGTGGCTTGCAGCAGTGATCTCAAACGTAACAGCATTTGTGTGGCCACTAGTGTTCCGTGTTTCAAACCTGCTCTTGAGATGGTCTCAAATTCAGGAAAGATATACTCAGGTTTATACATGGGTTCTCATGAACTTGTTTTCATTTTCTCCAGCTTCTACTTGGCCTTGACCTGGCTGATGATACTGAACTTCTCCATAGTCTCTTTGAAGATATAGTTGATTTGAGGTCTGAGTATTCCATCCAGTGAAGTCTCTCTGTGGAATCTCAATTTAGTTGTTGGGGGGGAAATGGTATTTGCAATAAGTCATTGGTCTTGACAAATATCATCCTATCGTTCAATCTCTGACCTTGTTTCTGTCACAAAGGTCATGCTGATCCTTGTTCTTACATTCTCATGACGAGTAATTATCAATGTGTCTTGAAATATTGGATCAATTGCAGGTTTCAGAAGTTGATTGAAAAAAACCAACAAACTTCTGTTTCTTCCTCATAGTAGTGGCTGACACATAAGCTTGAATAGCAGTCTTCCTAGTAGGAGTATACATACTATCCATTCACTGTCAGATCTGTTCTTCGGGAGGGGTGTTTATTATTATTATTATTAAATGCTTTTATTGGGGGGCTCTTAACATCTCATCACAATCCATACATTCATCCATTATGTAAAGCATATTTGCACATGTACTGCCATCATCATTTTCAAAGCATTTTCTTTCCATTTGAGCCCTTGATATCAGCTCTTCATTTTCCCCCTCCCTCTCCTGCATGCCCTCCCTCATGAACCTTTGATAAGTTATAGATTATTATTATTTTCATATATTATATTGTCCTCTGTCGCCCTTCACCCACTTTTCCATTGTTCATCCCCCTGGGAGGGAGTTATATGTTGATCCTTGTAATCCATTCCCTCTTTCTCCCCCCACCTGCCTCTACTCCTCCTGGTATCTCTACTCTCATTGTTTGACCTGAGGGGTTTATCTATCCTGGATTCGCTGTGTTGCCGGCTCTTATCTTTAGCAGTGTGCATGTTCTAGTCTAATCCAATTTGTAAGATAGAATTGAGGTCATGATAGTTGAGGGAAGGAAGCATTAAAGAACTAGAGGAAAGGTGTATGTTTCATCAGTGCTATACTGCACCCTGACTGGCTCATTTCTTCCTTGTGACCCTTCTGTGAGGGGATGTCCAATTGTCTACAGACGGGCTTTGGGTCTCCACTCCACACACACCCTCCCCCATTCGCCTTGGGTATGTTTGTTCTGGGTCTTAGATGCCTGATACCTGATCACATTGACACCTCGTGATCACACAGGCTGGTGTGCTTCTTTCATGTGGGCTTTGTTTCTTCTGAGCTAGATGGCCGCTTGTTTATATTCAAGTCTTTAAGACCCCAGAAGCCTTATCTTTTGATAGCCGGGGCACCATCAGCTTTCTTCACCACATTTGCTTGTGTACCCATTTTGTCTTCAGTGATCATATCGGGAAGGGGTGAGCATCATGAAATGCCGGATTATTAGAACAAAGTGTTCTTTATGTTGTGTTGAGGGAGTGCTTGAGTCGAGGCCCAATGTTCATCTGACACCTTAATTCTTAACATATAGATATAAGTACATAGATCTATTCCCTTCTTTTTATATATAAATATATTTACATATGTGCATGCCTGTATTTAGACCTCTATGAATGTCCTTTGCCTCCTTGTTCTTTCCTCTATTTCCTTTTTACTTTCCTTTTGTCCCACCATCATATTCAGCCTTCATTCAGGTTTAGTAATTCCTCGATGCTACATTGTGCTTGCTGAAGCCCCAGTAGGCATCCTACACCCTTCTCTCAATTTATTTTAGTTCACTTGTAGTTTCCTTGTCCCTTGGTTGATTCTCCCCTACCCCCTCTTTCTCCCACCTCCCCTTCTCCCGTATCCCCCCAGAAC